ATGGCACAGGCATGTTCCATGGGTGCTAGCATGGCACAGGCATGTTGCACGGATGTGTTTCGGGAGTGCCAGCGTGGCACTGGCAGCGGGGCTCGCTCAGAGTGTGGGGTCAGGCAGGGACACCCACCCTCAGGGTGGCATCCCCTAAAGGCAGCGACACCCTTTGCCAAAGCCCTGGAGCCATGAGGTGCCACTTCCAGCACCAGGGCTGTGGGTACCCGAACTGGGGCTGTCCTTGGGGACACCCGAGGTCCTTGAGCCTCCGGGGAGGGAGGTGAGGGGAGTTTGGGGGGTCTGCAAGCCCCGGAGCATCCCTTTGCCCCAAGCTCGGTTGTTCCAGAGCTGCCACCCCGCGGGGGTGTTTGGGCTCGGGTCCCCCGTTGGGGTGACACAGGTCGGGGGGTAACGCTGCCACCTGTTCTGCGCAGGGGCCGGCGCTGGCATCGGGTCCCCCCTGCACGCGTGGAGGGCCAGAGCCGAGGAGCTGACGCCCCTGCGGTGAGTCCCCAAATCGCGGCGGGGGCGCCGGACGCTGCCCTGCCCGCCCGGCTGGCATCACCCGCGGGGAGGCCGGTGGCACCCGCGGTGCCCGGCGCTGACCCCCCCGTGCCGGCGGTGTGTGTTTTGCAGCCAGTATCTGCCCGGCCGCCGGGGATGTTATGACCTGCACGGGAAGAGGCGCGCGGCCGGGGCCCCCCCGGGACAGCCCCCCAGCCGGGGCCGAGGGCAGCGTGAGTGACCGCGGGGGCCCCGGGGGACGAAGCCCGGCCCCGGCGTCCCCCCCTAACCCCAGCCCTCCATGGCGCTGTCTTGCCCCGGTTCTGCCACCCACCCCTGTCCCCACCCTGCGCGGGGTGACCGTCACCCGGGCGTCAGGGCACGAGTGACCGCTGCCAGTTGCCCGTAATCGCCCACTGATTGAGGATAAATAAAGTCTTTGTTTGGGGTGAGGACAAGAACCACTTGGGGCCGAACGCCGGCTGGCGCCGGGCGGCTCGGTGGCGGCGGGCAGGGACGAGGACACGCTCGTGCCCGTGTGCCACGGCCAACGCTGACGGGGACACGGTGGCGAGGGACGGGCCCCATCCCCGCTGCCGCGGGCACGGCATCCTTCCTCCGGCAGAGCGGGATGCGGCTCTTACGGCACCGTCCCCCCGCCGGGTGACCCGGCTGGGGACAGCGAGGGGACCGCGGTGGTCCCCGTCGAGGGCGGAGGGGGACGGGGTGAGCCTGTCCCCACGGTGGGGTGGCAGCGGGCGGGCGGGAGCCGCGCTGGTGTTTACTGTCAGCAAAGGAAGTGTTGCTGGATTTACGGTGCACACAGGGCGGCTGCGGGGATCGCTCCCCACTTTATAGGGACAGAGCTGCGGGGACATGGGGAGCGCAGGGGGGCCCGCAGGTAGGCAGGGGACGGGGACAGGGATACCTCGAGCTCCTGGGGTCTGGCTGGCCGGGGATGTGCTGTCCCCGTGTCCCCATCCCAGTGACGGTGCTCGGTGCTCGGTGCCGGTGTTGTGTCGGTGGCAGGGCGGCGGCCGCGAGCCCTGTCCCCACCCTGGCCCCGGTGATGTCCCCAGACTGTCACCCTGCCCCAGGGGCTGGGCTGCGGGGATGTGAGGGGACCAAAGGCACCGTCAGGGTGGGGGGTAATGGAAGTTCTGGGACGGTGGGACACGTCCAGCGAGTCCCCAGCAGGGCTGGGGTGTGACGGAGAAGGGGACACATCCAGGTGACCCCAACTGGGTCTGGGTTGGGGGTGATGAAGAAGGGGACACTTCCAGGTGACCCCAGATGGGTGTGGGATGGAGGTGGTGGGGGGAGGCACCTTCAACTGACCCCAGGGAGGGGGTCTGGGCTGGGACAGGGACCAGCTAATGCTTTGGTGGCTCCACTTGCAGCTGAGTCAGTGACCAATGTGGACCCGGAGGCGTCGGGGAGCAGGAGGCTCCTGTCCCAGCAGAACACCCATGAGGTGGGTGCTGGTCCCAGGGACCCTCATTCCCTCCCCATTCCTGAGGGTGTGTGGACTGTGGCCACTTGGAGACCAACCCGGGAACACCGGGACACGGGGTTCTGGGTGTCCTGGGGGTCCCTGGTGTTGCCGCCTGGGGGGACTCTGACCCCCCTATCTCTGGCTGCAGGGCTATGTGGAGCTCCACGAGCTGGTCATGGACAGCTCGAAGGACTTGTGCTGGATGGAGGCTGGCCACTGGCTCAAGCTGGAGGAGGATTTCCAGGAATCGGGGCAGTGGAGCCAGCCCCATCTCTCCTTCCTGACCTACCGCAACCTCCTGGAGATCCGACGGGCCTTGAACAAAGGTGGGGACACCCCTGGGGACCACCCGGATGGCGGCAGGGACCCCACACCGGCCAGGTGGTGACAGTGCTGTCCCCACAGGTGCCATTCTCCTCGATGTGGCGGCCAACTCAATGGCAGCCATCGTCAACGTCCTCATCGACCAGATGATCTACGAGGGGCAGTGGAAGCCGCAGGACCGGGAGGACATCCTGAGGACGCTGCTCCTGCGGCACAGGTACGGCAGGGCTGGTGCTCCCAGGGGGTCCCCAGGGTCTGGGATGGACCCAGCACAGGTACAGCAGGGCTGGTGCTCCCAGGGGGGTCCCCAGGATCTGGGCTGGACCCACCCCAGCGCATCCCACTGGAGCGTGGGTCAGGGTGGGAAAGCTTTGTCCTCCAGCCCTGTTTGGGTGTCCCAGCACATCCACAGGGCTGAGGCTGCCTTATGGGTGTCTGGGGGGGGGTTGATGGCACTGAGGGGTCTGACACCACCCCCCCGATGCTCTCAGCCACCCCAGTGAGGGGGAGTCGGTGTGGACGCTGCCGCCGGCGCTGCTGCAGCGCTCGGGCACCCGCCGGGACGACGTGGAGCAGCCGCTGATGAGGGAACAGCAGCCCATGGAGATGAGCAAACTGTCAGGGACTGAGCAGGTACTGGGGGCACGGGGGGGCACTGGGATGCGGGGCTGGGGGTGGGAGATGCGCACAGGGTGCACACACACACACACACACACACACACACAAGTGAACACAGACCTTGGCACACGTAGGGGCACAGAGCAGTTGCACACTCAAACGTGCCTGTGCAGGCACATGCAGAGGGGGACACCCAGGGAATGGTGGGGGACACTTAGGGGACAGAGAAGGAGACTCGGGGAGTGGTGGGGGATAGGCAGGAGATGGAAGGGGACATTCAGGGGACAGAGGGAGAGACATGGGACAGAGGGGAACATGCAGGGGATAGTGGGTGACATGCAGGGGACAGGGAAACACACCAGAGGGGGACATGCAGGGGGCACAGAGGACCACAGGGGCAGCCACCAAGGCTGGCTGGCTAATTCTTACCATCCATCTGCCTCCAATAGAGTGGGGCCTCCAAACCCCAACTCCCAGAGAAGATCCCTGCGGACGCTGAGGCCACCCTGGTCCTCGTGGGTGAGTGGTCAGTGGGGTGGTGGGTGCTGGGTTGGGTCAGGGGGGTGGGTGCAGGCTGAGGGAGGTGGGTACAGGGTCAGGGGGTGCAGGGGGAGCTTTGCCATCTGCCCCTCGCTGTGCTCGCTCACGCCCTGCCTTTCTTGCACCCTTTTTGCCTCTCCCCATCCTCAGCTCTCGCCGCCGCCTGCTGCTGCTCAGCGCTGCTCTCCGGGTCCCTGTCCCATGTCACTTGTCCTCACGTCCCATCTCCCCATGTCTTCATGTCCCTGTGTCCTAAGGTCCCTGTACTCCCGTGCCCACCTATCTGTGTGTCCCTGTGCTCCCATGCCCATCTGTCCCTATGTCCCCATGTCCCTGTACCCCTGTGCCTCAGTGTCCTCGTGTCTTTGTGCCCCTGTCCCATTCTCTTTGTCCTCCCACATCCCCAAGCCTATATGTCACCTTGTCTCCATTCCCGATGTCCCCGTGTTCCGATGTCCTGCTGTCTCTGTGCTCCCACATCCCCATGTCCCTGTACCCCCGTGTCCCTGTCGTGTCTCTGTGCTCCCACGTCCCCATGTCCCTGTGCCTGGTCCCCCATGACCCCCGTCCCGTCCC